TTGTAAAAATGCTAGTGTGGGACGGCATGACTGCTGACCACAAGCTTGCCTGTGCTGGGCTTAAAGATCGTTCTATGGAAAAGAGGGTCATTGCCAGTAGAGACATTGGAGGCTACCAACAACAAACCAGGGCCTTAACTTCCGCTCTACAAGCTCAAGCAGAAACCCTTGCAGGTGCTATGACCCAGGCTCTTAGTGTCAGGAGCCCTAAAGAGAGACCCAGCCAACTCTGCCATAGGGGTCAATGTTATGGCTGTGGGGAACAAGGTCATTTCAAAAGGGACTGTCCCAACCGGATAAATAAAAACCTTCCCTCTACGCCGTGCCCTAGTTGTGGTAAGGGGCTTCATTGGAAGCATGAGTGCTGGTCTAAGTTTGACAAGGATGGAAAAGCCTTTAAACTAGAGGAGGGGCAATCCCCAGCCCTGTCACCCCAAGGGGATACAAAGCCAGTGCCTCCATGCCCTTGCAGGTGGCCAGTACCCCAGGCTCATTGGACTATACCTAAAGTCCCTGGTTTAAGACCAAAAATGAATCTTAAAATTCAAGGAAAAGAGTTCCGATGCCTTGTTGACATGGGGGCGGATCCAACAGTCCTTAGATGGGAAGAAGTCCCTTCAAGCTGGAAGTTAGTTCCAGGCCCCCAAATTTTGGGGGTAGGGGGAAAAACCCCAACATGGGAAACCTATGAAATCCTTCACTGGGAAGATGCTGATGGCACAAAAGGGGAAGTAAAACCTCTCATTGCTGCCTGTTAGACCAAGATGTTCTAGGCCAAGCAGACGCTTTCATTACCACTGACCATAAGTCCTTTTATGAAGATATCCCAGATGAGGACGAGTATCAGAAACAGTTTAACCTCTCCTGTTTTCCAAACTATAGGGGGGACCCCACTTTTCGGGACCTAAGAAACCATCAGCCTCTCCCCAGGGTCAAGTTCCCGGAAACTCTTCATAAACAGATGGCCAGTCACCCCCAGTCCTAGAGGCCGCTGCTCCCCTGGTGCCCCATCCGTTGGGTAAATGGGCCCCCAGTTTGGGTAGAGCAGTGGCCACTTCCTGATAATAAATTGCAGGCCCTAGAACAAATTGTCGATGAGCAGCTCCAAGCAGGGCATATTCGCCCATCCACTAGCCCCTGGAATACTCCAGTATTTGTAATTAAAAAGGCCTCTGGAAAGTGGAGAATGCTACAAGACCTTAGAGAGGTCAATAAAAGAATGGTCCTTCAGGGCATGCCACAGAGAGGACTGCCATGGACCCCCACTATACCAAGCAACTTATACTTAGTAACCATAGGTATCAAGGACTGCTTTTTCTCCATTCCACTGCACCCGAGTGATTGTGAAAAGTTTGCCTTTTCTATCCCCTCTGTAAACTTTCAGTGTCCCGATCGACAGTGTGAGTGGGTGGTGCTTCCCCAAGGCATGGCTAATAGTCCCTCATTTTGCCAAATGTTTGTTTCTCAGTTGCTTAATCCTGTAAAACAGCTGCCACATGTAGTTCTTTATCTTTACACGGATGACATAATTCTTGGGGCACCAACGCCCACGGACTTATCTCATGAACTCAGCCTAACTCTCTCCTGCTTGACTAAATGAGGGTTACAGGTGTCAGCCGATAAGGTCCAGACCATACCCCCGTTTAAAATTCTGGGCACACTTTTAACGTTAGAAAAGGCTAGCCCATTAAAGCCTCAGCTAACCATCTCAAATTCGTATACTCTCCCTCAATTACAAAAGCTTCTAGGCAGCTCCAAGCAGGGCATATTCGCCCATCCACTAGCCCCTGGAATACTCCAGTATTTGTAATTAAAAAGGCCTCTGGAAAGTGGAGAATGCTACAAGACCTTAGAGAGGTCAATAAAAGAATGATCCTTCAGGGCACGCCACAGAGAGGACTGCCATGGACCCCCACTATACCAAGCAACTTATACTTAGTAACCATAGATATCAAGGACTGCTTTTTCTCCATTCCACTGCAACCCAATGATTGTGAAAAGTTTGCCTTTTCTATCCCATCCGTAAACTTTCAGTGTCCCGATCGGCAGTTTGAGTGGGTGGTGCTTCCCTAAGGCATAGCTAATAGTCCCTCAAATTGCCAAATGTTGGTCTCTCAGTTGTTTAATCCTGTAAAACAGCTGCCACATGTAGTTCTTTATCTTTACAAGGATGACATAATTCTTGGGGCACCAACGCCCATGGACTTATCTCATGTGCTCAACCTAACTCTCTCCTGCTTGATTATATGAGGGTTACAGGTGTCAGCCGATAAGGTACAGACCATACCCCCATTTAAAATTCTGGGCACACTTTTAACGTTAGAAAAGGCTAGCCCATTAAAGCCTCAGCTAACCATCTCAAACTCGTATACTCTCCCTCAGTTACAAAAGCTTCTAGGCGAAATAAATTGGCTACACTCATGGATTCCCCTTTCCACTGGCCAGCTTGCTCGCCTGTTTGCCCTATTGCATGCTTCTGACCCCAGCACCCCCTTCATGCTCCCACCTGAGTGCTGTCAGCTTTTGAAGTCAGTCCAAGATCTCCTAAACAGCGCCCAGTTGAAATGATATGACCATGTCGTCCCCTTCCGCTTGGCAGATTTTACATGGTCAGCTCAATATCAAAACCAGCTGGCACTGGCCCTAGAAGGATATCTCGGGGTTGGTGATTGCCAATATGGCAACAATAAATGGGTCTCCACATTCAAAGAGCTGTCATGGACCAACCCAGAGCTTTTTGTCGCCAAACCCCTGGTAGACACCTACAATGTCTTCACGGATGGTGGCTAATCAGGGGCTGCTGTAATTATTTACAAACCCCCACGCACCACATCACAGTCGGCCCCTGCTACTCATTTTCACCCCTGTGACAGGTCAGCATAATACAAAGAGCTGTTTGCTATATCCATTGCCCTACAAAAGGTGCCAGACCCCATTAACCTTTTTACAAACAGCTTATATGCGGCCAATCTTCTCCCTGGGCTTCTGGGAGCCCACATTCGCTTAGATTGTAATCCCATTTCCTCCCTCATGATACAAGTAAGGAATACCTTACAAGGCCGCAATAACCCTATTTTTGTCCAACACCTTCGGCATCAAGGGATGCCAGGATTTCTCGCCACTGGAAATGCCCAGGCAGACACTCTTGCCTCTCAGGGCCCTAAAATATATACAATTGATAGTGCCAACCAACTGCACACTTTAACTCGTGTAAACTGGCATGGTATACAAGCCAGGTTTCCAAATATACCTATTTCACAGCTAAAAAGGATTGTACACACATGCAAGTCATGCCTTCCTTATCTGCAGGTACCCCCCTTACAACCACCAGGGGTCAGTCCTAGGGGACTCAAGCCTAATGTGCGGTGGCAAACTGATGTAACTCACTTCCCACCTTTTGGGAAACTCAAATATGTTTTTGTGTCCATTGACACCTACTCACACGCGTGTTGGGCCACAGCACACGCAGGTGAAGCT